GGTTCCTGATACTCGTTCTTCATTCCATAACTTGATTTTCCACACACACTGCCAATCAGTGTCAATTCCGTAGGAGACCTCAAGGCGTGGTGTTTAGACTCACAATCGGTAAGTTTCAACCAACTCGTCTCCATTACTCACTTCGAACGGCACGGGGCTGAATCCATCCATTGCGGACATGCGAAACCCTCAATGTTGGCACAGATCGTTGTTTGAAAGACGCAACTCACCATATTCAATCCTAACACTAACGATGCTTCGTCATTGTCATTATTTCCGCAACGAAACGTTTTCAATGGACAGGGCTAATCATGGCTTAATAGAATAGTATCACCGACGGTCGCCCACAGTCGGTCTGGGGTCCACAATCTATCCCTCATCCCCAGTTGGACGAGTAGTTCGCAAGAATATGAATCTGCGTTGGTACCTTCCTCGATGCCCGATATCAAATTGGGTATAAGGTTTCCGTCATAGGATCTATGTCTATCCTTGTGTGTCATCTACGAATGACTCGGGAGAGGATGATGCGGACTTGACGCTCACTCAAATATAATCGTCAATACCGCGTATTTCGGAACGGAGGTCAACTGAGCTAAGATACCCTGCAAGTAGAGAATGTGACGCCTACAGCTACAGGTAGTACGCCTGCTGTGCGCCTACGAAACATGATTAAAATCTCTCCGTTCATCTCTTCTGACTCACTGTCTTCCTTCCTCTCTTTCGTTCTTCCTTCCCTCATGTTTCGTCGCATCTTACTTACTACGAATTGTGAATATGGACAGGCAAATGTTGTCCTTGCTCTCGCGTACGAGCTTGCCACACGACCTGGTGTCAAGGTCGCTATTGCTTCATTCGCACCTCTCGAAAAACGCGTCGTGCAGCTGCAGCAGCAATTACGAGACGCCAAACACGATTCCGACATCCTGTTTTATCTACTCCCTGGTCGCGGACATATCGAAGCGGTTGGAATGACCAGGCTCGATACTCCCCATGGGCCCGGCGTCAAGCAAGCTCTACATAGCTTTCGTTATGCACCGAGCATGCTGCTTCCCTGGACAGAGTCTGAATACATGGAACAGCTCACGACAATCGAAAATATTGTTCACAAGTTCGAACCAGAGGTAGTTGTGGTTGAATGGTTCCACCGGGCTGGTCAAGATGTATGCAAGAAACTTGGTCTGAAATTCTTCGTGATCACACCGAACTCTTCGAAAGACATTATTGGCTTCCGACAGCCATGGGCCACCGGCCTGTGGAAGTTTCCTGCGTATGTTGTGCCTTTGATCTTCGCTGTAATATAGTCCTCATTGATAAGTATGATACATCACTCCAACAGACTATCTTCCGGATATGCTTACCCGCTACCATGGTCAAAGCTAATACCCAACATGTTCATCAACTTGATGTTAATATCGGGAATCAAGCTGTCCATGACCGTACACAAAGCTGATAAAATGCGTAAAATCTATAATAAAGCTAATCCTCCCATCCTCGTCGATCCGGAAATTCAATACCTCTGTCCATCTGCTCCAGACCTCGATTTTCCGGTCACAGTCCCAGACAACATCAGACTATGTGGACCTCTTGTTATGCCCACACATCCCATTCACAAAACCGATCCAAAACTTGCGGCTTGGCTGGATCAAGCACCTACTGTCCTAGTCAATTTGGGCTCGCATGTCACCTACGATTGCTCTGCAATCAGACAGATCGCAGGTGGATTTCGACCGCTATTACGGCACCACCCTAATATCCAAATTCTATGGAAACTTAGTCCTGAGGGAGACATTCAAGGGGCCCTAGATGAATACATTGAAAATGATGTTGATATCCGAGGACGAGTTCAGGTCGTGCACTGGCTCCAATCGGAGCCTTTCGCGGTCCTCCAGCATCCAAACTTGATATGTTCCGTGCATCATGGAGGCGCGAATTCATTCTTTGAAGCAGTGTCGTGAGTTTCTGTATTCTGTCCTTGGAACGTTTGCGAAGACTAAAATATCGCGCAGAGCCGGCGTTCCTCATGTCGTTCTTCCTGTATGGTACGACACCTATGATTATGCTACGCGAGTTGAATGGCTCGGGATTGGGTTATGGGGAAGTCATCGCAGTGCCCCCAACGCTGAAGCTTCAGAATTCGCAGAAGCTCTGTTACGGGTAGCAGGTCCTGGTGTAGAGGCGGAGAGTTTCAAGCGAAAGGCCGAGAATTTGGCAGAGAGTTGTCGGACTCGATATACTGGTCGGGTCAGAGCTGCAGATGAAATTCTGACGCTTTACACAGACCGAATATGATGAACATAATGTATAGTTAATGTAGCACGTAGTGAAGATGTGCACATCGCATAATTTATGATTTCCGTAGTTTGCTCCCTTCATCGAAGCGCTCTTTACTACTTTTTTGTATAAGAAAAACTCTTCATTCACCGCAAGTAAGTCTAAGTACTAAGACGCGGGGAGTCGTGGCAGCAGACGATCATATACACATCTACTCATTTCCTTGGTAATGTTCTGGGCTCTTTACTTCATGGTCTTAAAGAGTCTGACTTTCCCTGAGTAGAAATGTGCCTTACTGATAATTATTAATGAAGACCTTGCCTTTAGACACCGTTTGACAGACAGATGGTCTTTCTCAAATCAAGCTCATGATCAACGTTCGAAACCCTTTATTTCTTCGACTCTGCATCAACATCAACATCATTGACATCTTTCACATCCCTCACAGCCTGCAACCGCGTGATTGTCCGTTCATGCCCCAACGCGCGAACTATATCAATAATAGCCGGTCCATCCTGTATACGCGCGTAAACGACAGCCATGAGTCCCAGACAATGATTATAGGAAGACGTTATGAGGAACCTACTTTCATTCCAGTCAGCGCATGCCTCAACACTCTCATGAACACCTTCAGCTGTACACCGAGTTTTTCCCTTTCCTGATGTAGAGTCCCCATGATGCTCTCGTGAGACGCAGCTTCGAAGGTCAGCCACCCGTTGGCCTGTATGACGGTTATGAACGCATCAATGATATCCATACGTTTTTCAACAGAAATATCCCGTATCATGCTTTGAGCTTCTACCGATGTCCAGTCTGGTTCAACGAAAAGGTACGGAGCGTGGATAGGGATGTCGTGGATGTTCGTTAGTCGGCCCTGGTGGAGGTAGAAATACGTGTTCAATACGTTTTCATAGAAGAAGGGAAAGGCGAACCTCTAGCAACGTTATAGCATTCTTGATATTATCCACCGTCGTATATGGGCTAGTTGGTATCGACAAAACCTTGACATCGATACTTGCGCATCAAAACACAAAAAAACGACACTAACCTCGCTTTAAACACATCCTTCACAAGCCCGTGCACCCTCTTTGCAAGCTCGTCCAAGCCCTCTGGATTACTCCAAGTCCTCATCAAATGATGTTTATTGATATATTCGAGCTTGGTCACATCGAGGATAGAGCTCCGGTGTGTAAGAGCGGGGAGGTCAAAGTCAGAAATCATCTCTGAAAGCGTCATAAGGTGGGTGCTGTCAGGTGCGTCTTCGAGACGGTGCGGAGACGGTGATCGTGAAGACGAGGAAGACGTTTCCGAGGGTGCGGGCTGCTCAGGCTCGTGCTTGGCGCCCCAGCCTGCAAGAGCGAGCCAGTTCAAAATGGCATGTGGTTCCCAACCTCGACGCTAAAGGAAAATTAGAACATGAAATTGAAAGAAAGACGAGACGGAATAGGGAGATAAATACCATGTAATCCACAACCTGTACATCTCCATGCCTCTTTGACATCTTCGTCTTGTCCGGATTCAGTAGGATAGGTATATGAGCGAATTGAGGTGGTGTCAGGTTGAGATGGGTGTATAGATCGAGATGCAACGGGAGTGATGGAAGCCATTCCTACTTACAAGAAAGAAAAGCTATACATGAGTGAAGAGATAATCACAGCGGTAAAGCGCACACACACCTCTCCTCGTAGGACATGGGTTATGCCCATCTCATGATCGTCTACCACCGAAGCAAGGTGGTATGTAGGGAATTGATCACTCTTCAGCAACACCGGGTCTGTAGCTAGGGAGAGATGAGCATCTCGCACGTATCCGTAGACGATGTCGTGCGTCGGAGGACGTGTAGGTACGATTCCGTCCTGGAACCCAAAGGAAACTGTCAAAAATATACTGATTGAATGGCAAAGAGACTGTAGCGCACATTGATCCTAACGACATATTTTTCCCCGGCCTTGACCTTCCGCGCGACTTCCTCGTCGCTGAGGTGAAGACATTTCTTGTCATACGTATTGTTGGACCCGGATCGAGCGAGACGCGCTTTAACATCTGCCAATTCATCTGCGGAGCAAAAACATCGGTATGCCTGCCCATTCTACGTAGCAAGTAAGAATCTGGTGCTCTCGAACGCAGGGTAAAATTTAAATCACATACATCTACAAGTTTGTTCGCGTATGACCGATACAAGTCGCGCCGTTCAGACTGGAAAGTTTTATAAATGGCAATAAGTGTAAAGATAGAGATGATATTACTTGAAAATATGGTCCATGTGGGCCGTCTCTGGCTGGTCCTGAGGGGAAAACAAAAGTGTCATTCAGGTTACCTGTGAGAGCTTCTCCAGCCGCGTACCAAAGTCATAATCTAATCCAGCCCAGCTGAGAGCCTTCTGAATGCCTTCCACGGATCCTGGGACTGAACGAGTCTTTCGCAAGATTTCATTCAGTTCTCCGTAAGCAAGAAGACAATAACACACACGGTATCCGTATCTTCTACCCTCAAAATCCACTTTCCTCCTAATTTACGCGCGTAAAGATAGTTGTATAGTGCCATGCGCAATCCTCCGAGATGCAAAGGCCCTGTCGGTGACGGGGCAAAGCGCAGGAGGACCATTTTTATGGTAATGCAGCGGGAGACCTGGAGCGTTAGTACTTATGTGTATCTGAAGCGCCAAACGAATGGACATTCAAAGTCTTATAGACACTTGTAATGATACATATATTGAACCAATTTCTTAGTCCGATATGGTGTAGTGGCTAACATTATCGCCTCTCATTTCATGTGCGCGATAGCCCGGGGTTCGATTCCCCGTGTCGGAAGACTTTTTTGTGTTCTCTATCTACTAGAGCTGTCTAAAATGTTGAGTGCTTGCAGTAAATTCAACAACCTCCTCCTCTAAGTATTGATACTCTTTCATACAAGATCACTTCACGGATCAATAAGATGCATGTCGAAAACAAGGGTTTGTACTCGCAATAATGGATCAACTTTCACATGCCCATGAGGTTTCGAACTTTTTTTAATCCCTCAAACCTTGTGGTTCACGAGTCGAATCGGAAAAGTTTCCTCGTTCATGGTCAAAGTTGTCAAAGTTCAAGTAGAGCTCGAGGTCATTGGAAAGCACACTCTACTTTTCAAGTTGAAATCTTTCTTATCGGGAGTCAAAGTATCCAAGACGAGTAGAGATTCCCTGGTATAAGTAATGTCCAGCGACTCCTCCAGCCCCCCAAGGCTTCGACCCTTGATATATGAACCCGTCGCCTGCGTCGGACCTATCGCTCGAGCAAGATCCATACCATTTCCCTCTTTTCTTCTTGAACTTTTTTGAGCTTAGAATTTCTGCAGGACAGAAATCGCCTGGCCTTTCATCAGCTTCGATTCTTTCGCAAAAACTTTCCACAATGCATCTTCGCCCTAGCTTGCTGAAGCTCGTTGCTGTGGCTTCCTTGTTCATTGCTGCTGGCGCCATACCATATGACAGATCAAAGTATAGCAACAACGCCTGGAGGGACCAAGCTCCAAAGCTTGTCTCCTCGAACGCAAATTCTTTGGGAAAAAGAGGAGATAGTATAAAGCAAGCATTTACTGTCGAATGGTACAAGCAACTCCATGTACGTCTTGTTTTCATAGCCTTCATCAAACGTTTGAAGATCGACACAAAATTGAACAGCACCCAAATTGGATCAACTATTCTCCAGGCGTGAGTCGGTGTGTCGGATATGGGACAAACGAGGAAACCTTTCTGCGTGCGTGCAATTATATGTTGCTCTCATTTTCGCAATATTTAACTTGCAACAGGCAACGATTTGACAGCTGAAATAGCTGACCGTAAATCAATCGTTAAAAATATTGGAAATCGCAACCGGGGCTTGTTCACTTTACCGAAACGCGAGGATTCTGTTGTAAAAATCGTTACAATCGACGGCTCCCGCGAAGGTCAATGTGCCGCATGCGAAGTTCAAGCTTTGAAGGATTTCGGACAGGAGGTAGAGGCTGGATTCACGACCTTGCCCGGAGAACGGGTACCAGTTGGCGTCATCATCATGAAAAGAGTGAACGGTGTATACCTCCTGGATACCCCAAGGTGGAAGCTCACGCCTACTCCGGCGAAGAGGTTGGAATATCTAAACTCACTTGAAACAAAAGTTAAAGACGTGATATATAATTTCCTACTCGAAGGAAAACCCCTTTTTGCGTGTGTTCTTTTTTATATTTTAAGGTTTTACAGACACAGCACTGATTCGCGATCTTTCTACTCATCAGCGACTTCAATGCGGGGAACATTCTCATTGATACTGAGGAGAATGTGCGACTTGTGGATTTTGGCTATCCAGGTATCTGGTCCGTCAATAGGTGTCCAGAGAAAGATATTTTTGTGAGTTCTCGGGTGTCATTCTGCCTCAGTGTAATATCTCCGCTAAAACATCTTGCAATATGTATAGGACCAGTGGTTCAAACGACGCTGGTACTTCCTGTGGAAGCGTTTTTACAAGAATACAGGAAACAAGATTCAAGAATGATGAAAGTACTTAGTAAGGCAAGCTTAGCCAAAAGTATATCAACAAAAGTCTTTCAGAAGGGGAAAGGCCGAGGAAAAAAATATATAATAACCAGAGCGGAGTAGACTATGTATGTGTCGTGGTAACAGGAACCTTCTTGAATGCTCGTTGTGGGGCCTGACAACTCAAATCATTTGCTACCAGCTGCTACAAGCGCTCCTCACCTGGGATCACAAACCTTTATAGTGAAGTTAATTATTTCTCTTGAATCAATCTCGAGGCAATATCCAGAACTTTAAGCCTGCTCACCGTTTTTCTCCGTTGTCCTTATTTCATTGAATATTCTCCGATGGGGGAGGCCCTCGGTCTGATATCATCCAAAGTTTTTCGGTTAGCCGGATATCCGGATAGTGTAACGTGAAATTTGCTCTCATCCCGCCGTCGTCGGTGTGCTTCTTGTGCTTCACTCATCCTGACTTCATCGGGTTGTAATCTGCCGATTTGCATATCGTCAACTACAAATTGATTTTTTCTTTCTATCCGACATTTTACACGGCCCCGACTATTACTATTTGGGGCAACAATACGGACATTGCCGATGCTGACAAAGGGGGTGTTGTCTTCAGGCCTCAGTACTTACTTGAGATCATACTTATCGCTCTTTTTTATTTTCCTGACATATCCGAAAGTTGAGTGTAAACTTGGAAATCAAAATTTTTTTGAAGTGTTTTGTCCTTTTTGTACTCAGGCATTTACGTTTTGCACACCTTTTCTCCGTCCGGCTAGGCGTCGCATAGCCTTGCTGAATACAAAACAAAAGGCTGCTGTCGTGGGGGCACGTTGTCCTGTCTTGTAACTTGTAATTTATCCGCAATCCCTCACTGAACTGCGCCGTAAGCTGGCGGAAAGCTTGTAACAGCGCCTGAGTCAATCTCCGAGAAATGGCAGCGGCAATGACATCAGCGGCATTGGCTAAAAGCTGAATGGGCTAAATCCCCTGTCTGACCTTACTTACACTCCATCATCATCATCATCCTCTGGTCATCGATTCCTGTTATTATTCTTTCACTGCACCTTTCATCATCTACTAGTTTTCTTTCAGTCTGAAATTTGAAAACCTCGTCCCACAAACACTTTGACAACCTCGTGCTGGCCATATTCCTGACATGATGGGTCTCTTCAGTCAAGCCGGCTCTCATCTCCGAAATGTTACAGGCAGTAATGCAAAGCCTCGAGGCGCTTCGGAGGACGATAAGGCTCCTTCAGACACTGAGCCTGATGATACCTCGATCCTGTTCGTCCCATTATTCTACGCAAGATCATGTTTCTTTCAAAAACTGACTTCTGTGGCGGCAGCGATGAGAATGAAGGAAGTATCATATCGTCGTTAATTTCTCAGCTCAGGTGAGTTGCTGAGGCCCTGTCCATGAATTTTTGCATTGACGATCGTACCTCAGAGTTGGGATGGACCTTTCTCGTGTCACTTTTCCTACCTTTGTCCTCGAACCAAGGAGTATGCTCGAGAGAATTACAGATTTCATGTCACATCCGGACCTCATATTCGGGTGCGTTACCTCTCTCCTCCGTTGGACTATTTCGACTCACACCACCATCATCCACTCATCTTTCCTCATTCAATACCCGTTGCTATACTATACACAGCGCCGAACAATGTGACGATCCAGAGGAAAGATTTCTTCGAGTACTACAATATTACCTTGCGGGATGGCATATCAAACCAAAGGGTGTTAAAAAACCTTACAATCCCGTTCTTGGAGAGTTTTTCCGCTGCCAGTACGATTACCCTAATCGCACTCAAGGATTTTACATCGCCGAACAAGTCTCTCACCATCCACCAGTATCTGCTTTCTTCTACATCTCTCCCGAAAATCGCGTTATGATTCTTGGAGAGCTTCGACCCAAATCGAAGTTCCTCGGCAACAGCGTGAGTACCACAATGGAGGGCGAGAACAGAATTACGCTACTCGGTAAACCGGAAGATGGAGGTACGTGCTGATACTGCCTCGCGTTGTATATAACTGAGTTTCGAGCAGAATATGTTATCACAATGCCAAACATGTACGCCCGAGGGATATTATTCGGCAAGATGGTTCTCGAGTTGGGTGATACCTGCATAGCTAAGAATGAGAAAAATGGCATCAACTGCGACCTGGAGTTCAAGACAAAGGTGCATAAACGTTTTTGATCTTTCAGGGATTGATCATTGTGACTTACATGGCTGTCCCGTACAGGGTTTCTTCTCGGGTACATACAACGCCATATCTGGTCGAATCCGACACAACAACAATGAAGTCGGAGAAGTGTCAGGCCGTTGGAGTCATGTTATGGATTACAAGAATACGAAGGTGTGTTCACGCGTATTCCCCGGATCGAGAAACAACAATAATAATCACTTTCCAGACTGGTGCTAAACGAGTAATCTTCGACGCGGTAAAGGATGGGCAAGACGTGTCACCGAAATGGGTTCCGCCTGAAGATCAGCAAGAACCAAACGAGTCGCGGAGGTGCGTTCGCCAAATTTCGTTTTTCTTCCATGGTGTCACTTAGAATGACGTCCAGATTATGGAGTCACCTTACACAAGCAATTCTCGCCAAGGATATGGAGGCCGCGACCGACGCTAAAACCAACGTGGAAGATGCACAACGGGAGTCACGAAAGAAACTTGAAGAAAGTAATAAAGCGCATGTGCCGCGGTTCTTCGTGCAGAAAGATGGTAGATGGGCCCCAAAAATACAGTGCGTTCGGTTCTCATTCATATTCATTGTTCCGCCATGCTCGTGGTGCTCATGAATGCTTTATGAATTTAGAGTACCCCAAGATCCAAAGGAAGCCACCGTTGTTGTTCGAGAGTGGATATTTGGATCTATAAACCGATCCGACGAACACTCATCTTAAAACCCGAGCGCGGGGATTGTAGGATAGGGCTGATGAATTCCAAGAAAGCATGCGCCATAACATACACCAAATATACGCCCCCTCTCGTCTGCTGTCATCTACTTATACATCGACTCAGTTCTGTATTTTACACGCTAATCATTATTTCATTCTCAGGCACCCGAGAGTTGTTTCATGAGCACGACTCACTAATCACTATATATTTATACAAGAAGGAATTAGACAGTCTGCCTGCCATTTCACAGCATTGATCAGCAGGCGTTTACATGTGCGAAGGGCTGTCCGCGTTTTGAGTTGAGGTAGCAGTACTGGAGTTACTGCCAACCCCTCTTGGCAACATATGCGAGTATATCATCTGTCATCACTTTCATGGACCTGTACTCAAGACCAAGAATTCGATGTT